CAGCAAAGAATGTATTGATTTCTAGCCCTTGCATTAGAAATCAGCTACAGGGTTCTCAAGTTTTTAAGACAGGCAAGAATAAAAATTTTTGCAGTTTTGGATTAAATAAAAGTAGGCTACAGTTAAGTCAAATAAAACATGTTTTATCTCCTGTATAGTTTGGTAACACCACAATAAGATACCATTCATTAACATTACTTAATGTGTTAACATCAACACATTGAGTGAACAATATATTTTTACAACATTAATGTTTGTGAATGTTATTTAATACAAACACTGGATTGTTCATGTTTGTTCACTTCATTCATTGTGCATTAAATAATGTTAACAGAGAAAACTTTTGATTTAAAAAATGTATTTAGTATATTTTTAAATTAACCCCAATGAGAATAATTGCTATGTATATAACTATGGTTTATTGTTAGGTCATTTTATCTAATGTTATCTAACAAATATAATCTTATTGTAAAGTGTTTTTAATACTACAGTTTCCATCTTTGTAACCGTGATATACACTTTAATATATGTAAATTTTATCTAAATTAAGCTTTGGTACCGAAATTGGTACCGAGAACCGTGGATTTTCACTGGTATTGGTACCGAATACTGAAATTTTGGTACCGTGACAACACTACAGTTTAAGATATTTTAGATTTAGTCCGAGAGCTTTCTGTCCCTCCATTGTAAATGTGTGTACGGTATACTGTCCTTGTCCAGAAAGGAAATAAAGACATCATCAAAGTAGTCCATGTGACATCAGTGGGTTAGTTAGAGTGTGTTGAAGCATCGGAAATACATTTTGCTCCAAAAATAACAAAAACTACGACTTTATTCAGCATTGTATTGTCTTCCGGTTCTGTTGTGGATCCGCGTTCAGTGCCGCCGCTGACGTAATGCTTATTTTTGGAGCAAAATGTATTTCCGATGCTTCAACACACTCTAACTAACCCACTGATGTCACATGGACTACTTTGATGATGTCTTTATTTCCTTTCTGGACAAGGACAGTATACCGTACATACATTTACAATGGAGGGACAGAAAGCTTTAGGACTAAATCTAAAACATCTTAAACTGTGTTCTGAAGATGAACGGAGGTCTGACGGGCTTGGAGCGACATGAGGGCGAGGCATTAATGACATCATTTTCATTTTTGGGTGAACTAACCCTTTAAGGATTTTAATGAAAGACTGAGACTCTGCGAATCCTTTGAGAAAATTAAGGCACTAAATGAGAAGTGCTGATTGATTTTGTTGCTCGTCTGGTTTGTTGGGTGTTCAGCTGTGCTGAGTGTTGTGTTCCTCCTCTCTCAGGGATGTAAGAGCCGACACGAAATACACCGGGCGTCACAGGAGACCTCACTTCTGACCCTCAGCGGCTTCATATGATCCACTCACACACTGACCAATCAGAGGGAACCAGAACCAGAACTGTGTGCTTTCAGGAAATACATCGCAATGTGGAGACAATTCATGGACTCCTTGTCTTATAAGATCACTATCTGGATTATATGTCTGAATTTACAGAAGCTTTAATAAACCAGATTTCATCTTCTCGATTGTTGATTCCTTCATAAATGTGCATTGAGCATGAACCCGGAGCTGTGCATTATCTCCAGCAAAAACAGCTCACTAACAAACACGGTCACTGTGTGAACGAGAGAGATTTAGGATTGTTTAAGATTTGATACATTTATAAGATGTTGCACCATGTTAACATGATATTGTAGCAGGAACAGAGCTGGGTTAGTTTAGTCAGGAGGATATCTGGCATGACGCCGGTCGAGCTGCTGCAGGATGAGTACTGTCCCATGTTTGCTCGATGAAGGGTCCAGTGATGTCCCTCAGGCGGGCCAGCACCAGTCCCTCGAATGACTTCACCAACACAGGAGTAAGGGAGCTGGTCTGAAGTCATGTAGTCCTGTGATTTGGGGTTTCTTTAGGATGGGGATGATGGTGGAGCGTTCGAAGCAGGAAGGGACTTCGCAAATCGGACATTAGCCTACTAGTTGCGTTGTGTGTTTGTCCACTTATATTACTTAAATAAGTTTTCAAAACAGGTGCTACGAAACATGCATCTTTAGTGAGACCCTTTCACCATAAAACTGGAACCAGCAATTGACATTTCTTGTCTTCCTCCATTTTTGTCCGGTTCTCCTCCTGGGACACCCCTCTCTCTCAAATAAAGTCCATCTTGGGAATTGATACATTTATGATGGCAATTTCAAAGATGTCAACGTGCACATACACCAGTGACATTCACAAGGCTCAAGATTTTCTCGCGATCATGTGTAATTTGCGGGTGGGACATTGTTTGCCGATATTGTCCCCACCACTTATTGAAACATCTTGTGGGACAGATGTACTTAATACTAATGAAACATCTCCAGTTGACTACCTGAATATTCATTTTGTTAGATATCCCCGACACACACTCCTGTCCCACACACTTTTTAAAACAAAGTAACAAGAAAGAAAACCAAAATAATAATTATGCATGGCCTCTTAGGCTTCCGTACTTTTAAAATAACTTGAATGTTTAAACTGACAAGACTCAAAAACAGGTGAAAATGCTAAACTTTCATGAGGAAGCAGCACTGGTGATTATAGTTTTAGGGGGGCAGAGACGACAGACAGGGGCTGAAACACACCTAAACAGGTCCCAGACCTGCCCCTGGTTGCATGATGGCACACAGTGAATAGTCTACTCTATACAGTACGTCAGTTAGGACACATGTCGTGTCTTGTTTCCTCTCTCACGGCTGGATTATCTCCATGCTAATGCTCATGTCTGAGATCTCTATCTCCTTCAAATATATACTGTGGTTCAGAAGAGGTACTTAAATGTTACTTTAAAGTCCCCCTGTGGTGGAAATCCAGATTTTAATGTTGTTTATGTGTCTATGTGGTGTTTTTAATATGCTTTAAGACAAACCATGTGTAAGTTCATAAGTCGACAGCATTGCTGAGTATTTTCTGCTTAAAACTGCAGTGAACCAAAGACAGTCTCAAAAACACGGTTTGAAATCGCTGGTGTTTCTGACGTCACAAACGACCTTGTAACCAATCAGATCAACGTGTGATCGTCAACCAGTGGATCTCTGAGCTGAGTGAGTGAGTGGAGGCGGGGCTCATTTGCATATTCATAGAACCACGCATACTAAATGAGGCGAGGGTGTAGAGTTACATTCAAGACATTTTAAGGCATGTATAATTTTTTTCCCAAGGAAAAAAAAAAACGTTAAAATATGTAATTTTGGTGATCAAAGATGAGATTTAAGGGATGAAATTATGGACTACAGACAGACAGACTTTAAATGTTGTAATGTACTTCAAAGAATATCATAGCTTAAGCAGGAAATGTTCTGTAAATGTTCAGTTTAACAACTAAAGTGATTAAACTATTGCACAAGTGCAGTACAATAGTTTACTACAGCACTGCACATGTTTTGGCAGTGTGTGTAGATCACAGCTGGCAGTGGTCTGGTAAATCTCTCTGGGACAGAAGAAGAGAAACCACAGCAAAAATCAAACACTGACACCAGACCAGACCACCTTCCCTCCATCTTTCTTTCTGCAACTAAAAACAGAAAACGTTGTATGCGGTTTGGCCGTTCATTTACACGCCAACAGTGTTTTGAGCAGCCTGAAAACGCAAACTTAAGTGTTTTTTTTTTATTGAGTTGGTACACATTTTGTGTAGGACTACCATTGATGAAAACCATCAGTAAAGCTTGCTTAAGAAACTACTAGTTATGTGGTTTGTGATGTGACTGTCACATTTGTTGTAGTTGATCCTTTGTATAGAGTTCCTTTGCTTAGTTTGTCTTTGTTTATTTGGCTGTTATAGCTTGATTCGGTTTCCCTGGTTACTGATTATGTTTACCTGTGTCTTGTTTGGTTCCTCATTTAGCCCTTTAGTTGTTTAGTTTTCTTTTATTAAAATTAAACTGTTAGATTTAGATCCTTGTCTCCTCACCTTGTTGGACCATATCATGACAGCAACAAGCTTGTGTAACCAAACTACTTTTCCTATCATTCTCTGTTGGCAGAAAGATAATGAAAAAATACACAATTATCATCAAACACACATAAAACATCAACTATACCCCTGATGTGCATCCCTTTGATTTAGTTGCAGTGGCACTAAAACATGTGTTTGTTCATTTGAATGGATTGGAGCTCCTCACACACTCCCAGCGCTGAGGTGCTGGGTTGATGGTTTGCTGAGGAATTATATTAGTATCTAGATGAGGAAATATTTGCTGGCCTAAAGTCTCCATTGGTTCCGTCCAGTCCTAAATCTTCTAAGTCAGCGTTTCCCAACCTGGGGGTTGTGACAACTTCCCTCTAGTTTAAGGTTTAGGGGTGAAATGGTTACCAGTTTAACCATAAACCACGATTCGACTTCCGACGGTTAGTATTAAGAGTTAATATTCTAATCATCATTAAAACCATAATTGATTATCTTAATCAACATTAGTCAACGGTCTTTATCAACAAGTCACTGTCTTAATAATAATTCACATGGAAGGGGGAAATCTCCTCAACCGCCACTAGTTATTCTGATATTGAATAATATCTCAGCCCCCAATGAGGGTATGATTAAAAAAATATTGTTTGAGTATTAGGGTAGGGTTGTATACTAATAACCTTATTGCAATCCACTATACTGATACTGACTATTGTAACAGTTAACCAACAGAGGGCGCCGTTTAGCGGTGTTGCTTTATGTTGCTTGTAAACGGATGTTGAGCAATAAAGCACTCTTGAGAATGGCAGTCTGTGTGTAGAGTCATGTCAATACATCCACTTTTCCATTGTATTCCCTGTATTTCATATATGGGAGTAGGAATAGTGACTGAGCCATATACAAGACTACCTGATTCATTCTTTACTGTACAAACACACACACACACGTTTCCTGTACAAACACACATGTAGTCCAGTATCTGTCTGAGCCACATTTAGCAGAAGTAGCACACCACTACAACACTGATTTACAGACAGAGGAAGTCATGGTAGCAATGCACTTTTTGACATGTAAAAAGCAAGCTGGTGCTGCTTACGGAGTTAATCACAATTTTTTAAAGGGGACTGGGCTATGCGCTCAGGCATTCGTCTGGGGTGAGGGAACACGTACATGCCTACTATCATTCGTTCTTTATATATTTACTTAGCAACTGGCCCGCCCACATTGTTCAGAGGCCCACTGGGAAAACGCCTGGTGCTCCACATGGCCAGTCCACCACTGTTCTACCACAGCCGTCTAGGGGGGGTATTTTTGTAGTTTTCCGTCGTAATACAAAACAACTTTCCCTACATGATGCGAAATAACGTGAGAGTCAGTTATCCCCCCCCCCCAAAAAAAAACAATTTGTCTAAAAACAGGAGTGGTAACACGGTGAGAGATTTAATTCAACATATGAACACACATGCGGTGTGTTCTCTGCGAATCTGAGAGCCCCGCTTTTTACATACACAGCGGTCTCATCATTCAAAGGTGAGTGACGTCATCTGGGCTCTTAATCATGTTAGTACTATGTGCTTTATTAGACAGGAGAGCAAATGTACATAAAACGAATCAATCTTATATAGCTCAACATGATGAAATATGATCAGTATTCTAATGTTGATCTAGCTCACTGCTAGTCTCATATAGCCGACAAACTAACACATAGAATAACATTATAATTTTCAACACACTCAAATGCAGTTTAGTGTGATAGAGCAAGTGAAGCAGCGCTGCGTTTCCTCACAAGCTTCATTCGTCTAATAAACTGACCTGTGTGAGTAATACAGCACTTGCGGGTATGTTAGTTCGGTAGAATTAAATGTCCTTATTACTTTATATCCCGGGACTCGCTTGTGTGCTGATATCTGTCTCTCATTAGCACAGTCATGATAAAAACATCAATGTATTCACTCACCCATAAACATTATTTCCCGTAAACATTATTAGATCCATCGGCATGACAGCAAGTCCCATGATTCCGCTCCTTCACTGCGTCATCAATCTACGCCTTTGTTATTTTTCTGAAGAGGTTAGCGACCCCTAGCGGCGAAAAACTACATATTGTACCTTTAAGTCATTAGTCCTTGTGTATTATGGCCCTCATGTTTCGGTTGTTCCCTGTTACCACTGTTGGCGAGTCCATGTTAAGTCGAGTTAAGTCAAGTTCAAAGTTTTATTTGCCATTTGTATAGCACAAAGAAAATTGTAAAAAAAAAAAAAAAATGAAGTGCACCAGTGCTTGCTAGCCATTTATACTATATTATACCCTATTTCTATGAGTTAGCCGTTACTCTCACTGCTGCTGGATAGAAGCTGTTGTAAAAGCGTGTTTTATGTGTGATGACACTGTCCGCTCTGTGTGTCTCAGGCTGTAGGGTTTGTGTCTGGGCCTCAATAGTGAGTG